ATTTCTACATATGTTAAAAGTCATGCCATACATTATTAGTATTTTTGTTTTAAAGAGTCATTCATCTCTTAAAGAGTTTTAAAATCTAAGAAATTAAAATGCTTCATATTTACCCCTAATATCCATTTCTTCTTTTGTTTTTTTGCAGGTAAAGTTTTGCCCTAAGCTAACATCTGTTGCCGATCTTCCTCCTTTTTTCTTCTTCCCCTCACTGTGAAATCCCCAGTACATAGTTGAGTATAGTTGTAAGTTCTTCTGGTTCTTCTATATGAGACGCCACCACAGCATAGCTACTGACAGACAAGTGGCGTGGTTCTGTGCCTGGGAACCAAACCTGGGCATCCAAAGCGGAGTGCATAGAGCTTTAATCACTCTATTATGCATGGCAAGTTTCTTTTTTATTTTTATTTTTATAGTACAATTAACACAGTGAACAAAGTAGAAAAGATCAAATAGTTCAGAGAATACTATCACTACTGTTTTAAAAATGTTGATCAATGATCTCAGGTGTGTGTTGTTCATGTAATACTATTTGATTGAATTTTATCTTTTTTTTGGAAAAGCTGGAAATTATTTTATTTATTTTTTTTTGTGAGGAAGATTTGTCCTAAGGTAACATCTGTTGCCAATCTTCCTCTTTTTGGCTGAGGAAGGTTAGCCCTGAGCTAACATCTGTGCCCATCTTCCTCTGTTTTGTATGTGGAACTCGCCATAGCCTTGCTTGATGAGGGGTGCATAGGTCTGTGCACAGGATCCGAACCCGTGACCCCCAGGTAGCTCAAGCAGAGCACGCGAACTTAACCACAATGCCACCAGGCCGGCCCCTGGACATTATTTATGGGTCAAATTATTTTTAAATTTGAGTATCATACATCAGAGTACACGTATAATACTCTACTCTTTTGAATTATTTTATAAAACATGCTTTTAAAAACACTGGATGTATTTCTTATATGATGGCTAATGTTGCCAGATGGGTAAAGGATTTTTGAGTAGAAAGAATCATTATGAGCACAGAGCAAATAAGACTTCTTGCCAAGCCTGTAGATAAAGAGAAAGCATTCAGATTAAGTCATTGCTAATACCCTTATGCTTTCTTGTTTCTGAGTGGTGTCTAAATATATTCCTTTGTGACTGAATAAGCGCTCACAGTTGCCCATTTGTTACCCCCTGCTTTGTCTCCACCAAATGGTAGTCAGACTTCTCTCCTTCCTCGGTGCCCCTGAACTCTGCTTACCCTCAAGACTGTGCAGGCACAGAGAAGTGGAGCGTGCCCCCTGATCAGCTTATCCTGAGAATCGGCTGACCGCAGTAGGACACTGTTCCTGTCAGACCCTACTGGTCCTTTCCCTCTGCTTGTCCAATTTCCTCTTAAGAGTCTGCTCACCTATACTTACCTCTCCTTATCCTACAGAATAAAACAAAAGCTTTTTTCTGTTTGTTATTGAGACATCTGCTGAGATTTGAGATTTCTCCCTATTGCAACTGTCTTTATTCTGGGTAAAGTCTCTCGTTATCTAAGTTTGGATTTGTTTTGATTTGATACGACAAAAGATCCTTGACCAAAAACTGTGCTTTGTTTAAGATCATTCACATCAAAAAGCTTACAAAAATTACTCAAAGTAGTTACATAATCAGACTCTACTTTAGAGGGAATTGCTGCTATCTATACTGCTTCTGTCTTAGTTCAAGCTCTTATATTACTCATCCTGAATTATTTTGATTGTTTCCCAATGGACTTGTTTATTGTCTGTCTGCACTCACTCTCACTGTAGCCTCCATATTCCTGCCTGTGTAATATGCCTACATAATCCATCCAATCACATTACTTCTTTAACAAATGATATTCTGACTGATGATTGCCTGATTTTATATTCATGTTTAAAACTTGATAATAAGTGTTGAGTGCGGAGACTCTTGCCATTAGTATTTATATCCACTTCGGCTATCTCATTGCATGATCGTGATGTGGTCAAGAAATATCTGATGACAGAATGAAAACAATTTCATTTGGACTCTTATTTCTTAAAATAATAACACAAAAAACAGTATTTATTCCTAATTGTTTCTTTCCAATCTTTTAAAGAACTCCTTTATTTCTGTGTCTTCAAATCTTGTAGCCAAGCCAAGTATATACCAAGCTGTTGTTAGTTTTCCTGGTACTTCTGGGACTTAAGAAGTATTGAACGAATATTTAAAAATTCATTGAATGGATTTCTATCATTTTTTTCCTCCCTTTGTCAATTCCCACATGAGGTTATGTGGTTCAGTACTGCTGTTTAGTCCACTGTCTTTTCAGTTTGAATGCCATTCTCTCTCAAACTTAAGGTAGCCAAATTATCTTCATTAGCATCCCCTACTTAAACCAAGCAAAACTTATGCATAAAGCAAAACTCCCTGAGGGAAAACAACAACAACAACAAGGAAACAAACAATAGCAGAGCCTTGTCTCTTTTCTGAAAGGCGTATGTGCTCAGAACTTTTATTTGCTAATCTAATCCTAACAACTTGCACCCATTTCTTTTTTTTCACTCCTTCCCTGATTTGGTCTTGTATTCAATCCATCACCAAATTTACTGATTGCCTGTCCTGGAGCCTCTTTCTTATGTTTCTTTGAAGTCTTTCTCTATCAACCTATTTCCTCCCTCCCATCTGCTTAAATAGAGCCTACATATTTCATGCATACTTATCTCCCCAAAATAATATTTTGAATATACTGTTTCTTGATCAAATGTCTTCAGCTCTTACCAAATGTCTGGGGAGTCAAGTTCAGACTCTTCACCCTGTCATTAACAGCAAGAGGGAATTCCATTTGAAGAAATTCTCCAAGTGCATTTAAAATAATTGAAATCCGTTGCAACTACTTAAACTTTGAATTGTAGGACTGTCTTCTTTTATCTCCAGAAGTATTGCTTTATTTTGGAATGAAATATTGAATCTTTCATAAAATTTGGAACATGTTGTGTTGTTTGATTAAAACTGACTCTCTAAAAAGTGAATTGCTGTTATTTCCTTACCTTCTTGTTGGTACTGTAATAGAGAAGTGGTCCCTATCCTAATTGCTCAAGGCAAAACTTCTCAAACTTTGTGGTGTTATAAACCATATAGAAATCTTATTAAAAAGCAGATTCTGATTCAATAGGTCTGGATGTGGCTTCAGACTCTAAATGTCTGACAAGTTTGCACATTGTGCTTGTACAGCTGCCCCAAAGATTACATTTAGAATAAAGTTTAAACAGCGTCCAGGTATAGACTGAGCGGCGGGGAAGCCTGCAGTCACAGTTAAATAGAATTCTCATCAGGAGCTTTTATGTAACATGTCTTTTAATAGTCTCACCAACTCTACAGAGTGGTTAAAGTATTATTATAACACCTGTTTCATCCATGAGACAATTGAGGTTTAGAAAAGATGAAGAATAGTTCCAGGTCATGAAACTAGTAGTTGTCAGGATCAGGATACAAACACAGGTGTTCTCCTCCCCAAAGCCCAGCCTCCTCACCACAGTAGGAGAGAAGTTTCTTTTGGTAACATGTAGATAAATAAGTCCATTTCCCGAGAGCTACACCAGGCTGCATTTCTTAAACTGGGGCTGCTTTCAGTTTGATGGCTTGCTTTTGTTTTTTGTTGCTGTAACTGTCACCATTGATATTTCTTGAGAACATAAAATGTCACTAGACCCAGCTTACCTCTGTAATCCTGTCCTGCGGGTACTGAGCAGCAGTCTAAGGATTTGGAGATGGATTTGGAAAAGGATTCGGATCATTTTGTGGAAATGGTGCATATGATGGATTTTCTTGATATGGCAGAGATTGGTCACACTTTCTCTGTATACAAACAAAAAGAGAGAAAACATTACAGAGAATTATGACAATGACAGTGCAAATATTTCACAATAATTTCCATTAAAAATTTAGGTTGTTCAAGTTAGTAGGACCTTATATATCATCTCCATGATTGTGTTTTCAAATGATTAGTTATGTTTTCCCTTTTTTATGAGAAAAATGTTGAAGAGAAGGTAAAAAGGATAAAGAGTTTCCCTTTTTACTGTTTGTTGACAATTTTGTTGGTTTATAATACATCTGGGGCATTGATTATAGCCAACCATTCAAAAAAGGCTTAAATATTTTTTATAATATTACCTCCAAGCTACGACTTTGCACATTCTTGACTATTCTTTGAAGGAGCAATTTAATAATTCCAGCTAAGGGAGGATTGCTACTCTTCCCTTTCGATATATAATGAGCTTATTTCCTCTTAGAACTCCAACAATCTTTAATATTTACTTCAGTTAACACAAATGTCCTTTACCACTCATTTTCATCTTTTTATTTGGTGCCACTTTAAATTTATCCCTTTACTATATTAGTAAGATCAATTTTTGAGACCTAGTCACATTAACATGACATCTCAAAATAACACAAGATATCAAAAATACATTTCGTTCAGAAAAATGTTAAATAAATGAAATTTTCTATCTTATTTAACATGGTCAGTTTAACCTAATGATTTCATAACCCTCCAGAAGGACCAGAAGGTGGAAATCTACTACACCATATGTATTTTCAGAAGTCTGTATGCTCCACTAGGCATATGCTATCCTTAACAGAATGAGAATTTTAACTATTCTTTAGTCAAGGCAATTCTTTACTAAGAAAGACACGTAAGATCTGAGAGAAAATTTGCTTCTTTAGAGTGGCATTATGAGTTTCTGTTTATGTGCTACTACTACACAAGACTTTGGGTCTTTTACCAGTGTATTATAAATAAATAAAATTAATGTATACTTGAGTCATTCATTATATAGATACATGTCAGAGGTAAGTATTGGTTCTTATTATAGAATAAATGGTCAGAGAAGAAAACATGTTTGTACTCTACCACATTATAGAGCAATACTTACATGGTATTTTACTCTATGCCTATGATGTCTCTGTTAAAATAAAGAAGAGATTAAAAACTGAATACATATTTAATTTCTAGTTTTCTACTAAGTGCAAGTGTCTTACCTCATCAAATGAATCAGCTCCCTTGGAAAAAAGAAAAGAAGAAAATAGTTAACATCTTAATTTTATAACTCCAGCATGTAAAAATGCTCTTAGCTGCTACAATTATGATTAAACAAAATGGAAGCGAAGTCTTGGGTTACTGATACACTAAACTAGTTTCTTTTTTATATGATGTTGTCTTTAAATGAGTGAAGAGTAGGCTTTTGCTATAAATAATTTGCTTCATTCAAATATCAATTCATTGGGTTCAAATTTTGTTCATGTTTGAAAGGGAGGAAAATCCATCCTAGAGAATAGAAAAGTGAAAAATGAAAAGTTAAACTTTGGATTTGCTTAAGAAATGGTTTTTATATGAATATGTTTGAAGTAGCTCAAAAGCTACTTACATTCAAATATTTGTTGTGCTGATAGAATCTGGTATTATGTTTTTCTCTGTTCTTCTTGACCGTTTTTGTAGTTCTATCCTTCTATAAAAACATAATGCAATACACTGTGATGTCATTATCAAGTTGTTTTTGAAACATACACTAGAACTTCTTGAATGAATTGAAGTATTATTATTATTTCCTGATGAATTTCTCAGTAACTTGATAAAGTGTACTGAAGTGAAAGGAACCATTAATTTTAAAAGAAAAGGAAACAAAGGAGGGTGGAGAAGGGGAGGAGAAGGAGGGGGAAGAAGAAGGGGTTTCAGAGAGGTCAAGTGTTTTGCCTGGACACACAGCAGTGAATGACCACACAGGTTGGGAACTCCTGACATTTGGTAGGTCTAGAGCTTTTAATATTTAATGTCTTTAATCAGCCTCTCAGTTCCACATCTTTATGGAGCTCTTTAAAATTTTTTTTTCTTACATTAAGCCAATGGCACTTGAGTGTCTGTGTGTTGAGTGTGTGTGCGTGTGTCTAGTCAAGATTTATGTAAGTCCTTGATAAACTTACGTAGGTGAATTCAAGGAAAATGTCCATATGAAAACATTAAAATTTATAAAGGCATGCTCAGGTAAATGCAAATAAAGACCAGACCCCAAGACCTAAGAAGGATGTTTCAGAGAATTACTGAGAATAGGTTCTTCAAAATTTCCTGATATACTTACAATCATGGCAACCAGGAGAGCCATGATAAAGGCAAATGCAAGGATCTTCATGTTTGGATGAGTCCTGAGAAATCATATATGAAAAATCAATAGAACATTCATTCCTGCATTCCCAAGTTCAACATTTCTTATCAAACTAGGCTCCGAGAATTGTGAAACATATGAGAAAAAGAAAGACAATTGAAACATACTGCCCGACATCGTGGAACTTAGAAACTAGTCGAGGACACTGATAAGCAAAGACAAGTGCTCTGATATGGAAACACTAAAGTGCTATAAAAGTACACCGAATGAGGCCCAGCCCAGTGGCGTAGTGGTTAAGTTTATACACTCCACTTCAGCAGCTCAGGGTTTGCAGTTTCAACCCTGGGTGCAGACTGAGGCACCGCTCATCAAGCCATGCTGTGGCAGCGACCTGCATACAAAATATAGGAAGATGGTCACCAATGTTAGCTCAGAGCCAATCTTCCTCATCAAAAAGAGGAAATTGGCAACAGATGTTAGCTAAGGGCCAATCTTCCTCACGAAAAGAAAAACCAACACACAATGGACATCTTAAGCAGATCAAGAGAATGGGAGCATTAAAGTAAAGACAAGGTAAGCTTGTGTTAGATGATACAGAATGAGTAAAGAGAGATGTTGGGAGCCTGCAAAGAAACAAAAATGAGAGACAGATAGCGTGTAGGAAGCGAAATAGTTCAGCATGTAAGAAGGACAGAAACCGAGCCTGGCTGACCACTTAGATTGTTGTGAGATCGCAGTGGCCTTACACAATGACATTAGGGGTAATAATTAAGGCAGAATTGAAAGAAATGTTTAGAAGGTAGAATGGTAAGCCACATGGACTGGTTTTACAGTAGAGTTAGAGAAAATGAGCCAGGTTTTGGGCTTGGAAATTGTGTAGATGGTGTAACCCTGGTATTTGAAATTAATGGTACTGGGTAAAGAAAAATCAAACTAAAAAGAAGTTTCATGAGAAACTGAATTGGTAAAAATAATTTAATCTTCCAAATAATCTTATTCAACAAAATTAACCTCCTGTTGGGCTTTCTGATATGCTTTTTTAATTCTGTGTATGCAAATGAACTGAATTCTGTTGCTGTTGAAAAAGAAATAAAGCAGATTATTTATTTCTGAATTGTAGACATCTAAATAAAAATATTTTGCAAACTATAAGGTAAACAATGGATAAAGGTTTTTTTTCCTGCTCATTTTTAGTCATCAGTTTTCATAGAACATTGCAGTAACATCTTTTGTCTAACGGTAGAAGAAACTATTCTTCTGCTAAATTACTCTAAATCACGAACATATGAAGGGGAACTCAGGACTCACGGTATTTCCATTGTTCCTTATCAGCTGATTTCACCTCATTGGCTTAAACTCAGCACTGTGGCACTAGACAAACTGTGAAAATTATATATTTCTTGACAAAGATTTTTCTCGTTTACTACTTGAACCAAATATTCAGTCATGTTATGATACAAAAAAGGATGCAACTTTTACTGTTGTTTATAGTTGTAATTATATTGAGAGTGGAGAAATGAGGGAAATTCTGAGTGGTGTTCTATAGATAGATAGATGGTTGAATAGATAGATAGATAAATAAAATTAAGATCTTTGAGAAAATATTTCCCAAGGAACACAATGATAAAGGCTTGAAGTAGTAAAAACTTTTTTTCTAACCAAATCACAAATGAAGTGAAAATGTTTTAAGTAAAATGAATTATTAAAACATAATAGCCTCTTATACGGTGTTAGTTATGCAGAAAAACAGAAACGATTTTTTTTTTTTTTTTTGGTGAGGAAGATTAGCCCTGAACTAACATCTGTTGTCAGCTGAGGAAGATTGGCCCTGGGATAACATCCATGCCCATCTTCCTCTACTTTATATGTGGGACGCCTACCACAGTTTGGCTTGATAAGTGGTGTGTTGGTCTGTGCCCGGGATCCGAACATTAGAACCCCAGGCCACAGAAGCAGAGTTTAACCACTACGCCACTGGGCCAGCCCCCAGAAATGATTTTGATAGATAAAAAGGACAATGAAAAGGTTTGGAAAGAAGCACTTTGAAAATAATACATACATTTGCCAAAAGAGGGCTTATGCTACTCAAGAGATCATTTTCTTATAAAATTTAAACTTCAACTTGAAGTTAAAGGTAAAATTAACTGTTAGCAAAATGGGTATCATGTATTTAGTCAAAAACATAAAAAGCCTTCTAGGATATCCCACCAACAGAGAAGACGGAGCACATCTCCTCCATTTTTACACCATTCACTTTGTAAAATGATTGCTGTCAATTCAGAGACACTGAGACCTTGAACTCACCTTCAGATACTGACATAGGGTCATCATTTCTTTAAATGGTTTCTTTATGAGAAATTATCAATAAATAATATTCATTTTACAAATTTTTTTCAACTTATTCCTAGCAAACTAAAGATTAGAATAATACATCATTTTAGACTGTACATGAATATATTACCTTTTACCAAAGATGAGACTCAAGAGTCAGAGAACCTGAAATTCTGAAGCCCTAAGAAATGATGGGCTTTTCTAGAGGACTCATCTATTTAAGCACACTTAAATCCTCCATTTCTTATTCTAAATCATGTCAATTTTGCGATCATATTATGGAACTGGAAATAATGCCCCAAATCTGTCCCCACAGATACTAAGAATAAACTTAACAGGGTGATTTTATAATAAAAGTTTATGAAGCAGAGTGATCAGGAACCAAACAGACCCAACAAATGGTAATCCCAGTGTTAGTCTAGGCATGTGTGAATAAAACAAAGCAAAAAGTGTGCAGGAGTAAATCAAGTGTAGAAATGAATTGAAATGGTAAAAATATTTCCATAGAACACCATCTACCCTATTTCAACAAATGCATGTCCAAGATGGAACAAGTCTATGTTAAAAGTGATACCATCTTATCAAAATTTTTCCTGTTGCCTAATAAATGGTGATAACTGCCATAATAAAATGAGTCATTGGGGCCAGCCTTGTGGTGTGGCAATTAAGTGCGTGCGCTCCACTGCTGGCGGCCTGGGTTTGGAGCCCGGGCGTGCACCGACAGCACTGCTTGTCAGGCCATGCTGTGGCGGCATCCCACATAAAGTAGAGGAAGATGGGCACGGATGTTAGCTCAGGGCCAGTCTTCCTAGGCAAAAAGAGGAGGATTTGCATGGATGTTAGTTCAGGGCTGATCTTCCTCACCAAAAAAAGAAAAAAAAATGTCATCCTTTATTCCAAATGTGTTTCCTACAAATTATTTAAATTATACTTTTATTCTATTGACTTTAGAATAGTTTTAGTCTTAAAATATATTCAAATATTTGCAAAAATTTGGTAACCCTTGGGTATCATATGATAAAATAATTCTTATTTTTAAAGCCAAGTGACCACAGGAGCTGAGTACCATATATTTCACATAATAACTAGATGCATCTCTTTTGAAATATATTTTACTTCCTCTGAGTCTTTAGAGGCTCATGTTCCTCAATGGAAGCCACGTGTTGTCATGATTATACTACAGAGAAGGGAAAATCAGGTTTCACTAAGTCCCTAGGCTAATGTAGATAAAAACTGACTTCTTTACTACTGATTGGATAACTCAATGTACTCAGAACTGAATATCATAAAATCACTTGTAAAGTTTAAATAAATTATAGATCCTAGTCCATTATTACTCAAAGTGTGTTGGGTGGGACCACCAGAATCAGCATCACCTGAGACCTTGTTGGAAATGCAAGTACATAGCCCCTCTTTCCAGACATGTTGAATCAGGATCTTGGAAGCGCACTAGGCATCTCACTTTAACAATATCTCTAGGGGATGCTCTGTGTACCGTAAAGTTTAAGAAACCACATCATAAAATCACAAAAGTATTGTTTGTCTATAGGCTTGATCCCATCTATAGGACTTAAGGTTTAATTTTGTTTCAGGTGTTTTAAGGAAGTGTTTACTAGGTGAATCTTCTACACTATATTTGAACCTCCCTTTAAAAATTATTTTTATTTTTTGGGTAGTATACAAAACAATATAAATGCTTCATAAGGCAAATAAAGAATTAAAGTCAAATTCAATTGAAATCATTCGTATTACTCTTTTTTTCATTGATTTCTAAGCGTCATAGATCTATAGTCTCTTTTCAAATGCAAGACAAATCCAATCTTGATATTCTCAACGGAAAAAGATATATACAAGTCAGTAACCATTGAAGTAAGTTCTGATTTTCAAAAATAAACCTTGCTTTTTTTGTTTTGGAAATGTCAAACGGTTTTCTTCCTTCCTTCCTGTTTCCTTTATGTTTCTCTCCCTTCCTCACTGACTTTCTTCCCTCACTTATTTCTTCACGGATTCACTTACCCAATGTTACTAGGCACTATTCTAACAGACCTATGAAATTCATAGCCTAGTGAAGAAAATGTGAGGTAATGCTCAAGAGGCATGACCACACAATAATGGCAACAATCATGAACTGCCAGTAATAAAAACTGAAGGATTGTAATATACACATTTAAAAACTACAATTAAACTTAACTCACCCATATTTTAGTTTGGGACACCAAATTGTAGGCATTATTTCACCCATTGTTTTCTGCTTCGACATCATAGGAAGCGTGGGGATTATGTATGACAGCAGGAAACAAGAATAGTGGACTCTAACACAAGAGTAACCTTCTTATGTTAGTTACTGTTTTATCCTCCAGGAACAGAAGGTCATTTTAGAAGATTGATGGACTAGAGTATATCCTGTTATTTTATAATTTAGTAAAACGGATATCTTATCCTCCATAGACAACCACCATTCTGTTTGAAAAATGCCACGTCTTTCATTTACAAGGGAAAAATCAATAAAGAGCTACTGCTGTATCACAGGTGTGACATTAAATTGGTGGCAAAAGGATGCAACCTGTGAATGGGTATTAATGGTGATATTTATGCTGGATTTTCTTTCTCCTTCTCCTCCTTCTCCTCTTGTTCTTCTTCCTCCTGCTCCTCTCTCATTTCTCCTACAATGAAAGCATGGTGTACAGTCTATGACAAAATCCATGATGTTTCTTTATTTCACTAAAAAACCATTTTGTGTTATATTCCTGTGTGAATTACAAAATGAAAATTATTGCAACTGACAAATGTAGAACAAGATCTGACTGCCTACTAGGTAACATAAAACCCCCTGGGCATTGAGAATACAAAGTGACAGTCTCTTATTTCTACCCTTAAGTACTAAATGTTTGTGTCCCCACAGATTCATATGTTAAAGCCCTGCCTCCCAATGTGTTGTATTAGAAGGTGGGGCCCTTGAGAAGTAACTAGCTTTACATGAGGTCATGAGGATGGAGCCCCCATAATGGGATTGTTGCCCTAATCAGTAGAGGAAGAGACAGTAGAGCTTCCTCCCTCCACTATGTGAAGATATAGGATGAAGGCAGCTATCAGCAAACCAGGAAGAGGCCCCATACCAAGAAGTCTTCTGACATTCTGATGTCGGACTTCTCACCCTCCAGAACTGTGAGAAATAAATGTCTGTTGTTTAAGCCAGCCAGTCTATGGTATCTTGTTAGAGCAGCCTTTGCTGACTAAGACATCTTGTAATTATGAAACAAAGTTAAAGGCAATTGAAGATAGAAAAGTCCAGGGAAGGGTTGAATATATGAGTTGAAATTAAGAAAAATGCCCAGAGTGGGGTTGAAGAATTAAGAATAATCAGCTTACTGATTGTTATCAGAATTCTGAAAATTAATGAGAGAATATAAAGAAAAAAAGTGTAGGTTCAGAGAAGAGGTAGGCTGAGGAGAAACCCCCAAATAAGACCAATGTAATGTGCGAGAGAAAATGGAGTAGTCCTTGGAAATCTCGTAGAAGGGAAGGAATGGCAGAAGAGAGGAGAGTTTCCAGGCATTTTATGAACTGTTGCAGGCAAGGGGATGAGATTTCAAGAAGGAAGCTTAATCATCATGAACCAAGATTACAATGACCTTGGAGGTTGCTTAATCCCTTTAAACTGCAATTTTCTTATCTGCAATAGTTATACTAACAGTTGGGACTGAATTAAATGAGAATGTATATAAATCACATTGCAAATAGAAACTGTTCAAATACGAACATTAAATGTCATCATTTTTATCATCATAACCTTCAATAGAAAGGATATCTTAATTTTAAAAAATTCTCTAAGGAGAAAGGAGGAAATGAAGACCACAGCACAGTGATGAAATATCTTTGGAAAATATGAGAGTCACCTTCACCTGTAAAACTGGAGGGAGAAAGTTAGAAATCTGATCAGACATAGAATCAATTTACAGAAGAGCAAAGGAAAGAATTTGAAGGCAGTTATGCCAAATGGACTCAATTTTCTCTACGAAACACATGACGGTTTTCTCAACTTGACTCATGGGTGAGATGAGTTAGATCCCTCAGAACATTAACAATATTTATTGAAGGGAAAGGGTGATAGGTATACGACCAAATACAAGAAAACAATTTGATAAGCTGTATCCTATTCTATGTTTAGAAAACAGAAAAGGAACGTATTTTTTCCTATAGAATTGAGTATAAGTAAATTTAAGTACAAGCAGTAGTGTAAGGAAATTTAAGCATTTTCCAGGATTGAGATTTTAGCAGGTAGGGCTCCTCAAAGCCAGAGGCTCACAGGAGTCATTTGAGTATTGTAAGTACATACTAAATGATAAATATGAAATCCTAGATTAGAAGAAAATGAACTAAATTAAAAATAAACACAGAAAATAAACGGATATGGAAAGATCAAGGGCCTAGAAGTTTCTCTAAAGTTAAAGTAAAGGTATTTTTACTTCAACTTTTGCCTCCTTCCAAAATATTAATAAGATTATACCCTCCCCTGATGGCTTCCCTCTCAAACCAAAGTCTAAACTTGACCTACAGACTCTAATAACCTGCACACTCCTTTCTCTGTGATCTAGTTTCTTTGTATTCACTTCTTGCCTTCTTCTCCAACCAGGCTGGACTCCTCGAAGTTTCCTTACACACAATAAACATATTTCTTCTGCACCGATTTTGCACTTGCTATTTCTTCTGCTTGGAACTTTCTTCCTCCATGCTCACTCCCATACTTAATTTGTAACTTTTTATCAATGTCACTCAACCAGAGAAGATGTTCTCGACTCTCCTATTTAAAATTGCCTCTGGCCCTTGCCCTGTCTTTTATTTCCTTAGAGCACTTCTCACCTCCTGAGAGATTATGAATTAATTGTTTATTTCTTCTCTGCCACTCTCAACTCCAATGTAAGGTTCATGAATGAAGGGTTTTTGTCTCTTTTGTCCCCTGCTGTGTCCTCAGCATCGAGAACAGTGCTTGAGGGTAGAACTCAATAAATAGTCACTGAATAAAGATTTGCTGAGTGGCAGTCATTGTTGACACCATTGATGGAGGGCATTAAGATGTTTATATTCTCAGTGCGTGCCTTCTGCTATGGAGTGACATTAGGGCTTATCTTCTGGCCTCTATGGCTTGAGATAAGAAATGTGAAGACCCTGGAGAAGGTTAAGGATAGATACTGTG